ATGCTCACTTTCCAACTCAACTATTTCCTCTTACTAATTGTGGATTCCTTCCAAAATACAACAGAGGCAGCAGACTAGTTCAATGAACTATTAAATGAGTTGAGGTTGACTAAAATTTGTTCTTCATATCCAGCCTGTTGGGTTCAGACTTTTTTCTCACTGACTGATTGGGCAATATGCAAGTAAAATCTTCAAGAATGAAAAATGTGGAAAAGGTGCTCTGCCTCGCACTGTTTTGTAGAGCCACAGTCATTGAGGGAAACAATCTACTAGAGTACAATGCATCCTGTTTAAGAAATGCTTCAGCAAGTGGAAGGCAGAGAAGTAGGCAGTTCAAGATGGCCTGATTCTCCATCCCATTACACATTATATTCTGATGTCAATGGAATCACATAAACACAAAACAAAGTGAAAAAGTGAAGAAGCAAATCCAGTTTGTGACCCCAACTCTGAACAGACTTTTCTGCTGTATGCTACTGCCAACACATTAAAAGCTTTTGCACCGTATTTTGTAGGTAGTGCAAAGAAATACTTTCTATGCGTACAAAAAGCCAACTTTCTAAGCCAACTGAAACACCTGAAACACCTCTCCTTCACACAGAGGATCTTACATAATAGCAGACAATATTTTGACACTTTCAAGAGGATCACAAGAGCATTCAAGTCTTTGTAAGACAAAAGTGAAGTCTGCAGCTACTATTTTCCTTCTGTCACCATCTATTGCCTTTTGCTACATTCAAAGTGAAGAAAATGAGTATTTCCTATACTGGTAGGAGGTTATGGAGCTGAAAATGAATAAATGAGGAAGATACCTGAGGAACTTTTAGTATATTAATCTGAGATGAATAAGCAACACATCTTGAAAGTAACACTAGCATGAAGAGCATTTCTGGATAAGTAAGGCTCGTGTTAGTTAAAAAGAAAACTACTGAAAATCTTGAGTTGAATAGTGTCTTCATCTCACGACATTTTGAAATAGAAGAGAACAGCCTAGAATTTATTTTTGATATATAAAGCAATGAACGTTATTGCCCAAGCAGAGACAGGAACTGAAGTGATGGTCCACAGAAAAAACAACTTTGAGGGAAGAAATGTCCTCAGTTATGTATCCTCTTATCTTGAAGACGGAAAAATTCCTGCTAGACTTTCCCCACTGACAACAAACAGCTGACATACTTCAGCTGAAAAGTACTTGGTCCCTAAATGTAGTTATTCAGGCTGATTTCATTCCCTGCAGGAACAAATATTTTTCTTCCACCATCTTTGTCTTTAGATATTCAAATGATGCCCACAGATGTGGTCTGAATCACAAGACATAAGCTTGATGCCTTAGCTGATTCCTCTTGAAATCACTTTGTCAACATCTATGCACTCCTCAACCCACTTCCAAACCTTCATTTCTTAGGTATTTTTAACAAACAACAGTTCTCAGAACATTGAAAGAGCTATGTATATTGCAACAATTGCCTTAATCACTCTTGTGAAATAGTATTTTAAGAAAAATAATACGTTTTTTTTCCTGAACTTCTCCCATTTAAGGAGACATTTCCTGCTCAAAAAAATTATCTTTTGAAATACACTTCATATTCTTCTTTTTAGTAGAAGCCTTTAAAATTGAAATAATGTTTCCCCTTGATAACAAAAGCAAGAAAGATCAATACATAAAACAGTTAAATCCTGTGAAGAACATGAGAATTCACCATATGCGGCCTCACAAGGCTCAGTAATCTAAGAGCTTGTATAAACTCATTTGAAGAGCAGGTAACTACATTTAAACCACACTTATTTAACTACACTTATTTTACGTACTTAAGTAAAATAGTACAACAGATTTATTTTGCAAATGTATGAATACAAATCTGCACCTTTGTGTTCTGATATATATATATGTATAGGCTATTGAGTTCAAAATTTTTGCAGCTATCACTTCAAATAAAACAGGTCAGAAAATATAGTTTAAAATAAAATCAACTGTATTATCTGGCACTTTGTTCTACACTCAAATTATTACATTTCCAGTAAATAGAAAAATTCAGTAGTCATATGTAAAGACAGAAAAAGTGCATGTAAGAAAGTGTTGCTATACTGTGATATGGACTGATATATAGCTGATGTATTTGACAGGTTTACATTTATTCCATTTTTTACTGGTGACTGCATGCTATTTTGTTAATATTTGTTTAAAGTATTTATTTTCAAATCTTCATTATATTTGCTCTATGTATTGTTATTTTGTGCAAAAATACAATTCTAAATAGTGTTATCAATTTTAGGTGCAGTATTTGGGTCCTACGAGCATGACATCTTTGTCGTGAGTGCATATATGTTTAGACTGAAAAAAACCCCAAAGAAACATGCACCTGTTCATGGCCATTAGATACACTTGTATTAAACTATACAATTTCATTTTGAATTTGTATCTTGCATTAACAGGCAATATAAAATTCTTGGCATCAGCCATAATTAAGTAGCAATATTCAAGCTGGGGATGACCAACTAAAGAGGTTAATGTAATTCATCCTGCACAGTGCAGAATGTCAGTTTAAAAATAGTGCTTCTTTTCCTGTGTAAAAGGGTATGTACTAAGCACTTCCGAGAAGTGAACTCAAGTAATCCTCACAGAATAGCACAATGAGCTGAAACAAGTTTTTGTATATAATTTTTTCCCCAAATACCACTTGCAATAAAACAAGACAAATGACAATACTATAGGGGGAAAAAAAACAACTTTAAAGATGTTTTTATTGAATCGATAACTGCTTTGTCAAGGTAGTTTTATTTTATTATCCTGCAATGGTGTACATGTCACATAAATAAAACATGGCACACTTCTTGCATCCATGAGATTTTGCAAGAAGAGACTCCATTTTTGTTTTCTCTTATGGCAGAGTTTATTTAATCCAAATAAATGTATGCATTTTATATATATATTAAAAAATAATCATTTTAGTAAGTTGTTTCAAGAGTTTTGAAACTCTTAATTATCTAAGCTCTATCTCAAATATTCATTCATATAAATCTAGGACTTTTTTTAGTGATAATGTAGTGCTATTTAAAACATGAACAGGTTCATCACAGTATCAATTAGTTAATGTTCCCATTCCTGTTCTCAGTAAAAACTAGGTGCAATTATGATTACATACTATCTGTGAACTCCAGTTACTTAAGGTGAAGCAAAAGAAGGGCTATTTTCTAAATGCTTATCATTGCTGGGCATTTCTGGTAGGACATTTAAGTTGTTACAAACTTTTTTTTTTCCTGATGGATGTTATAAATGCAAACTATTCTGTAACTTCTGTGAATACAATCTATTTTGAGTCAAAAAAAGAAAAGAAGATTTCGGGATGCTCTAAAGCACTCTGAATACTTCAGCCTTCAACCACTGTCTCTGAAGGAGTGTATCCAACAGGAAAGTACACCTTCAATTTATTTACGTTTGGTCATAGACTCTGTTTTGTGGAAAACCTCCTTTAAAAAACAAAAGAGCAAGAGAAAGCAAGATCCCATTAGAAACTTACTTACAATCAGGAAACCTGTGGCTGAGCTAGGAACTAAGCTATTATTTTAGGGAGCCTTTTAGAGACTCAGTCACAACACAATCCATCCCTATGCAATAAGTCTCATGTGATGCATAGGGTAAAGATAAAGAACAACCTGTACACTGCAGACACTTCAGTCTCTCTTGATTGACATTCTCACCCAGTCTTTGAATTGATGTTGAGAACCCAGGCTGTATAGATCCCTCAGGGATGCAACAAATGAGGACTTTTTCATGGAGGAGCAGGTGTCAATAGTGACAATCATTTCAGTGCAATCGCAGTAGCTGTACCATGTTTTTATGATGAAACAGAATTTTATCATTGACCGTATCAAATACATAGGAAAATCCAGCTGGGTTAATGTTAATGCAATGCAATACAAATGCCCAGCGATGCAAAAAAACCTAAATCCAACGAAGAGAAATATCGGGTTATTAGTCCTCTGTAGGCTACAGGGTTCTCACCGTTAGAAGCAGCCATCTCAGTCAGTAAAACTTCAAATAAAAACATTGTTCTTTGCTTGAAAAGAAGATATTTTGCTGTTATTGAAATAGCAAAAATCAGGGGGCTAAAGAGATAATTCACACTCTGGAAAAGTTTTAGTAGATGCTAGGAGAGATGTATGCATTTTCTTATTCCCAAAACACTTTAACACCTTTCAATTACATCTTGCTGCTATTTGTGTCCACTCGGTTTTCCACCCATGGCAATTTTCCTGTTTGTTCCTGTCACAAGTCAGATGCTATACAGATTCACAGGACTAAATATTTTGAGTCCATCACATTAAAAGCTGTCATTAACCAACAATCATATAAATTCCACTGACATTCTGTACCACAGCTTTTGTATGAAATGGATTTATCTACAAGTAACATCTGGAATTTAGACAGGGCCAATGACTTTCTTGGCTGATCACTGTTTTTCCTTGCATATATATAGGAAGGACAAGGAGAAGTCCACTTTAATGCTCAACCTGCATTTTAAAAAATCTTCACCTGACTGAAAAAAAAAATCAGGTTCTAGGCTTAACCAGCTGGATATCATAGATAAAAAATTAGTGTGGGAAAAACAAGCTGCTGCTTCTGATAAACCTGAATAAGGCTGCTTACTTTCAGAACAGAAACAAAGTCAGTAAAACATATAGATGCTCTTGGAAGTACTGTGCTTTAAAACGCTACCTTTTCCCTTTGAAACAAAACCAGGAAAGGACAACTCCCTCAAAGTGTGTACAGTAAAGTTTAGATATTCGATTGTTTTGTACCTATTCAAATAAAGAGCTGAGGAGTGCTTAGGCTCAAATTAATATCTGCTTAGGATCCTATGTTACAGTATAATTGGGTACTTTATCTGTTAAAGGTGTGGATAACAAAATTTTCTCTAATATTATCAAATGTTGATGAATTCTGAACTAACAGGTTCATATTAAAAGATGGTTCCACTATCAATGATATGTAATCTTACCTGTGTACGCTATCTTGACCAGAAGGGACTACACCCAGGTTTGCTGCTTTCACTACCCTCTCAATTATTACAAGTCTAGTAGAGTTCTGTGGAGCAACAGCTATTGTAGCAGATGTCTCATTCATTCCTGTCAACATCCCTGAAACATTAAGTATTTCATTATTAATACTTTAAGATTTGCTCGCTTATTAAGCATAAAACCAGAATAAGACACTTCTAAACAAAAAGCCACATTTGCATTAAAAGTTAAATCATTCATCGAGAAAACAATTTTACAAGAAATTACATAATTACATTAGTTTAATGCATTACTTGCAATGACCTATTATTAGAAACAAGTTACCAATAACTGAACAACGGTATGTGTGATACTAATGCAACTGTGAAACCAAGGTGGTTCTTTTTCAGAAAAAGCATAACTTAAAAGAATCTAAACACAGAAATGATCAGTAAGACTGACTTGGAAAAGTCCAGCTTAAATAAGATCACATACAAAGACACTTTCTACTCTTTCAATCATAAAACCATTGGATTTTGTTATTATTTCATATGCTAAAAATAATCTTGAAATTCAGATAGTTCAATTTAGCTCATGAAGATAAAGTAATCTCTACTTTTCATTAGAAACTGGGAAATTCAGTTAGTATTCATCTTTCTTAAAATGTAATGATAAAGTACGATAAAAATAATTTGAATATCACTACAGAATGGAACAGAAATATCAAGATTATATACAAACATATGACAAAAAAAAAGTAAAGAAAGAAATGTTGTTCAAGGACATTTTAACAACCACCCCACTTTTCTATCAACATTCATTGTTTGGAAAAATGATTTGCTGGATGCTCATGTTGATTAAAACCCAACAGTAACTACAACTTAACATTGTGTGTGTATTTTTACAAGAGACACCAACAATGGAGCACTGTACTTTCGGCAGAAATATGAAGCATCTGAAATCTGTGGTAACATTAACAATGAAAACAATGCAAAAGTCTCAAAAGGCTAATATTTTAGGGCTGCACATACAGTTCTAACCCAGAGCAAATGGCATCAAGCTGCTTAATAGAGCAATTAAAAAATAAATCCAACATTTTAATGCACTAGAATGTGCATTAGCTGCTGTCACAAAATAAGAAATATTGAAGTAAAAAAGGAACAGCTCATAAGTAAATAACAGGATATTTTTGAACATGATCTGCTCTTGAGGAGAACAAAAATAAGCATACAACTTCTATAAAGATCAGCTTTATCTTGGGAATAGAACATTCTGTTTCAAATTGTTTAACTTCACTATTAGGCAAAAGCTTTAAAAACTACATACGCAGACTAAAACTGCTTTTAAGCAGAGCACAGGGACTGACATAACACTGCTGAGAGATGTGTGTACTCATTTAGGATTTAAACCTTCTCCATTAAGCTCTATTGAAGAGCAAATGCTGAATAAATGAATGCAACTATGTTTATGTTAAAAGCCTGTTTCCCGCAGCATGTAATTAAAGGAAATGTACAAAGCCAGTACTTTTGTCAAGCTCCTGTAAATGGAAAGATGGATAGCACTCAGAGAAGTGAATGCATTGCTTCATATTTAACCTTAACACTCTTGTCATTAATGGTTTGTCTAACTTGTTCTATAAAAGACAAGGTACTGCTCCATTGAAGTAAAATTAAAAAAATCAACTAAACCATGCTTTTCAGAACAGAAGATTCATTATCGTCGACTAATGTATTGGCATAAAGCAAAGTAACATCCTATCAAGTAAGGCACACATTCAATCTGCCTTTTCACCCCCCTTTATTTTTAACTCATGCTGTTTTATTGTTATAGGCAATTTGTACCACTCAGCATGACAGTGTAAACTGAATCAAGATTAATTTACATGCAAAAGAACACTTAGGAGAGCAGCATGGTAAGCAAATGTATTGTCTCGATTGCTGAGGTGGAAAAGAACCTGGAAAGAAAAAAGGGTACTCTAATTAAGGGGCATCAAATATGATTGCTCGCGGTAGTGAAGGGCCAGAAAATAGTAAATGTCCAACCATTTAAAGAATTAGCATCTTGCTTGTTAGGAAGACAAGGTGGATATACAAATCTTAATAAAATTAGGTGAACAATTTGTTTACTTAAGCAGGGTGTTTTTTTTTTTTTTAATGTGAATCAGGTATACAAAACTACAGTACAAAACATACAGTAAAACTATGACAAAACTATTTCAGTACATGTCCATGGGGAGGGGGGGAAGAAGTCTTTATACTATAAAGTAGTTTTAATTGGCTATTTTAAAAACACTTCCATAAAAATTCTGATTAATATCCAGCTATACCAATCGTATGCCACCTTTAATATTGCTTGAAACATGAGAACCTAGAAAACTCTAGTCAGAGCACAGAGCAGCCATTAATCTGGGCTAACTAACTGATACAATGCAATAACTGTATGCATTTTTAATAATAAAAGGAAATGAGATTGGAAAAATTACACTGGTAAGTAACAAGGTATATTGGCTACCTGACTAGCCCTATTCTGAACCAAGACAAGGGGAGTTTTGCTACTGATTTTTAAAAACAGCAGACAAGTAAAAATTTGGATACAAAGCTCCCAACAGTACATGTCTCACTCATGCCGAATTCCTGCTACAGAAACTGGACTTTTCACGGGGATGTGATATAAAACAAGGTATAAAATCCTGAGGCCTAAAGATCAGTAAAAATTTTCAACCAGAGAGGTAAAGAGTAGTTTGGCAATACCAGTTTTATCCACTGCTTCCAAATTGTCAATCACAACAACAACCGCTAAGTCACAGCTCCTGCTCTGGGGAGTTACCTCACCAGAGGATTCCCCAGCTCAGGAGGGAAGGGAAGACGGTGTAGCAAGGTTAAGTGTATCATGCACAGCATGTGGATAAATAGAGCTTTTGAGGTTCTGCTGCTACCACTAGATAACCTTCGCAGCCATGAATATTCAATAATCTGTCTGTTTCCCTTTCCTTATACCACCAGGAAGAAAACGGATATATACAAATGTAACAGACAATGCAAAACAGCAAGAGTGTAACTGAGTAAAGATGTGTAGCAATGAATTGTCTTCTACACAGCAGTATAATACCAGCTATTTCCTCTTTAGCATTCTTATTAGGTTACACATGCAATTTAGATGTAAAAGTCCTTAGAACCCAGACATACTCTCATTCTCCCCCAATATAATCTTGCATTTCTAATATTTTCCTTACTCCTTCACCATTTTTTACCTATTTGCTTCGGTTGCAAGTAAAATACCTCCAGGTCCAAGACTTCAAAAATCTTGCGTACAAAATGAAAAAAAAAAAAAAAAAAAAAAGAAGGAAAAAGAAAAAGCATGACAAGTGAAAAACAAGTTATATAAATCAGATTAATTTGGAGAATACAGACAAATTGAAGTTAAACACAAAACAGAATAATATATACCAACTTCTAAATTGCCCTGCATTTATTACTGTAATTTGGATTTTTCATTTAGCAAGATCACATAGTAATTCCCCCCAAATGCTAGCTGCTCCTAGATCTTTGTAATAAATACTTATGTAAAATTTAGAACTGAGACCTCTATTACCACGAATATTCTGAAACAGCTGATATCTATACGGAAAAAAGATGCAATAGAAAAGGTTTCTAAACCTGTGGCAAATTTGCCAGCATCAAGTCCTGCATCAAAGAATGAATTCAGGAAGACAGAGAGAGCGATACAGAAATGCCAAGAGACCTTCATGGATTTACAAATACTTCATATAAACAAATTTTCAAATAGCTTTATTCAGAGTAGCCTTTCTGCTCTATTAAACATAGCAAACAGCTGCCAGATTTATTCAGACAAATAATCAACAACCATAGAAGTAACATGGCAGAAGAAAAAGGAATTTTGGCAACAACTCCACAGAGGACCACAGCTATTCTCCAAGTACACTTCTTCTATGTGCTCATGGTTCTGTATGGCCAGTCAGGAGGAAAAAAACGCTCAGTCACAGTAAAACATACAAAAACTCTATCAAAGTATCACAAAGCAAGCAAATATAAAAATGACGGGGGAAGAAGCACAGTAGCCTGCCTTCTTTCACTACAACCTTCTCTACAATTTTTAGAAGGGAACAGTTTAAAATACCTGGGCCACAGCCTTGTTCAATCACTCACCTTGGTTTGCTGAGCAGGTATAAAGCAGAGAGGCAGGCTTTAGCCAGCAAAGGGTAAGAACAGCAAGTAAGTATCAATCGGTTAAGAAAACAAAGCATAATCCTAACTTTTCATTGCAGCCATAACCTTAACTGTAAATGATCTACGCAATATTTAAACTACTTTCTTAATAATTCAAAAATACAAACACAAGAAATGCTCAAAAGCAATAATTAATAATACATAGTGTTACTCATTGGTGTTCTTGACTGCTTGATGGATATACTGAGTTTGAGACTTACACAGCAATGAGACAGGCTCCCATGGGTATATTTTCGTCTCAATGTGAAGAGATTTACACATTTGAATCCCCATACATTGAGATACATAAGTAAACACTACTACATTTGAATGCATCCAAAATGTAATCGTTTATATTTTAAAATATCCAAGAATCATATCCAAATTAAGGGTAGCAGTATGGACTGTTCCATTTAACACACGGTCAAAGCTAAGTACAATTTTCTCTAATTATTTTGTATAAAATATTCAAGTCCCTAAAAGCTCTTACAGAGGTAAGAGCTGGTTTATGAGGTGTTCCAACTTTCTGCTAGTAGGAAAACATTCACACTTCATGACAGGAAGCCAAAACTCTCTGAGCCAAAAGACTGTTTCCAGGTAAAGGGTGGGCTTTGTACTTTTAAAGGCACACTGAAAAGCTATCAAATACCACTGCTCATCCTTTTTAGGATATTTTTAAATTAAATCATTAGTATCAGACTGAATACTAACAGAGACTAACACAAACAGCTACACGGGAAAGCACTTGCTGTACACAGCCCTCTTCCATCCAAATACATTTACTGAAGCTGCTGAAATATTTCTCACCTTGCTCCTTCTTGAAGTCTTTCTCTGACATAGTGACAGGCAAAAGTAATTCTCCAACAGGGGGTTGAATGTTAACACTGAAATGATCATCCTTTGTGCTGGGAAAAGAGAAATTACAGTGAATCAACCAAGTGATTCAACATAGATTAATATATGCATAGCAGCTCCAAATTTACTATGGGATCTATAAACAGTGTAAGAACTACCTGCATGATTTCTACCTTGTTAATCCAAAAGCCTGCTAATTTCTTCTATCAGTAAAGCTGATCCATTTTCTCCAGTACAAGTGCAGTATTAATAAAATATATGCATGCTCTTGTATTTCTGAAAATGTAACTTTTACTCATATTAATGTTTATTTGTAATTTATAAGGCATCTCATTCAAACTAAATGCTTGCAAAGGGTAAATTATTATGCATTTTACAATTCCCTTAAAAGAACTGTTATTCACATATTCTGTCATCAGCAACAGTACCAGAAATAGGACTAAACCTAGGAAAGGTATAATTTCAGACAAAAAGGATTATTATTGTCTGAAAAAAACTCAATCAAACCAAACATTAAATTTGTGAGTAAAAAAGAAGTATCTTTGATCACTTTGACTTCACAACATTTTGTATATTCAAACACAAACACACAGCATACTGGTTAATGTAAATGCACACTGGAAAATCACAGAATTTGCCGCAGTTTTCATAATGGCAAAGTTAAAAAAAATAGTATCAGTAGTAGCATATTATTATCAAATGCTATAGATTCCTTCTTAAGAAATAAATACCATACAGTGAACTTGCTCTCCCTAACCATTCAATTTTTCTGAGTTTCCAACTATCTCATCTTGGAGTTCTCCAGTTTGATTGACTAACGATACCGTAAGGGTTTCGGCTAGCAATTCAGGATCAGTACATCCAAGTCAGAATCTTTGTTAATGCTTTGAGGCATAAGAAATTTTAAGACAAGAACACTTTTTTTCCCCCTGATGTACCAAATAGTGAATACATATTGATTGCTGATATGCCTCAGACACCCTACTTAAATACAATACAAACGTTAGAATGGAAAATATATTTAATCAATTAATACCCATGGTATTTAAATTAACCTCAAACATGTGTTACTGATTTTTTATAACTCTTCAACTTCAAAATTCTGAAGTAAGATAGACTGATGGAAAAAACAGCACTAGATCAGTAATATAGAAAACATGTGTCTGCTTGCTAAAGATGCAAGATAAGCCACCTGAAAACAGGAAAGCATTTTATGGTCCTATTACTTAAAATTTTAATACTTACCATAATTACCCAATTTCACAAGCAAATGCTTAAGAACTAGTACATTTTCTTACTTTCTGACTTATGAAGTGTTATAATTATGCTTACGGATGCAATCTCAAGTACAGGCTTTTCAAATAGAATTCAGCATTAATGCTAACTTTGGTGAAAATTATTATTTAGTAAACACAGAGTGAAACAAACCCTTCAAACCTGGCTAGTATTTCCTTTACAAAGAATCATTAATGAAGTACTGCTTTTAAAAATTTGCTTAGATAACAAATTTTCACTTTTTTCCCCCTATACTACTTTAAATACCATCCATCTTTAAAGTCATTAGCATACTAAAAGAACAGGGATTGTTTGACTGGCTGGCCTGATCAGGTGCACTGTAAAATAAAAAAGTAATATTTTTTTCTTTAATTTTTCCTTTGAAAACCCATCAAGTACTCCATCAGCTAAGAGCTGAAGGAAGGGTCTTTAATCAACTGCCCCATAATTTTTGCTTTTATATATACTACTTGGACTATATGACTAAAACTTTTAACAATACCTTCATTGGTATTGTTCGACTGATCGTTCAACTGATGTTATCTTTCATATTTAAGCAAGATGTGCAATACACAATTCAGCATAAAACAGATAAACGGTTTTGTGTACATTGATTCATGTCCTACATTGACTGGACATAAACTTTGTACATAAACTTGACTAATAACATCAATGACTAGTTTGGTTTGAAACGCTTATAACAATCTTTTCACACCAAGAAAGAATAAAAGTATGAGCATAGCTTGGGTTCTATATGGCTGTAACTGCTTGAGAGGACCACTCAACATCTCTGCTGTTAACAAACATTCCACTTCCCTTTCCCCTAATGATTAAAAAGCTAATAGATATTCTGTGATAAACCATGAACTCTTCATAGTCTGCAAGCAGAAATTCTGACTGCTAGCTCTTCTTCAAAACCACTTTGTTCTTAATTTCACTTTAGCCAGGTTTACTTTGCATTACTTTAATTTCAGCGTACTTCAGTAAATTTATTTTTCAGCCAGAGAAAATCACCCTCCCTTGTATCATTCTCTTTATCACACACTTTACAGGTTAAATACACATCTTTTGCTTATTGATCTGCATCTCTTTTATTACATCTTTATATTAGAGATCTAGTAATATCTAATTTAGCAAAAGTAATTTCATAGTTCAATAGAACAATTCAGTTTGGAAGGGTAGTCTGGAAAACACCTGGTCCTACCTCCTGCTCAACCCAGGGCCACGTTAGTACATGTTGCTCAGGGCCTTGTCCATTTGAGCTCTGAATATCTCCAAAGATGGTGGTTTCATCAGATATTCTGATGGCTAAGCTTAATAATAAAATTGAGTCTTGCAGTACAACTACATAATTTCCTCCAATATGTAGTAAACTAAATTCCAGTGTATTTAACCTATTTATTTATACTTTGCATATATAATTAGTATAAATGATGTTTAAACAAAAAACTGCAGAAATTGTTTGAAGTTTGAACATTAACATTTAAGTGTCTGGCAGACAACTGGTTCAAGCTGCACTGAAACTTCTCTCAGGTGGTGTTGCTCTAACTTGCTTGGAAGATAGAGCTGAAGAAGTTTATCAGAAAAAAAAGCAAAGTTTCTCAAGCCAACAAAACATAACTGGTTTTAGATGTCAAAAATTAAAGATTGTGTTTTCTGGTATTAGGAAGTGCGATTGACAAATTACATCCTCAGTGGAACATGTACGTTAATGAGAAGTCTGCAGAAGGAGGCTTGAGAAGAATCAAACAAATATGGATGTCTGAAAACAGTACCTTGCCACTAGTTCTCAAAATCTGTTTTGTATGTAATTGTGAACTTAGGGGCAAATAATGTTAGATGTCATTACTCTTACTGTTGCCTTAATAACTGTTAAACTGTACATATTGTATTTTTAAAAGACTTAGACCACTTTTATGATCTAATTCGAAGGATCACATGACTTTATCTTCTGATGTACCCAATTAAGATGAACAAATGAGAGATGAAAATGCTCCCACAGGAACACAGGGAGACTTACAATCTCCATGATAAATGATACTGCAAGACTAACATTCAATCCTTTAGAAGACACATAGTTTTAACTTTTCTTCAGATGGCTGCAGTGAGAACAGCTAGCATCTGTCATTTGAAACCAGTGTCCATTTTCCTTATTCCCTCTCTTTTCCATCAAGTTTTTTTGAAGGATTGGCTCAAAAGGTTTCCTGAGAAAGAAATGCTTTGCCATAAAAAAAAAGGACTTCAGGACAATGATGGCAACATCTTCTTTAAAACTAATACAAATAATATTATCGCTTGTGAATGAGTTCTTAAAAGATTCCACAATGGCGGTCTTTAAGGTCTTAATTTTCAAAGCTTTTAAAAAATTATTATTCTAGTAAGAGGCTGGGAAATATTCTTCTTGCTGTTTATACTTTCCTTTTTTGTTTAACTCCTAGTAGTTCCTTGACCCAGAATACATCTATCTAAAACCAGCTCACTATTTTTGTCTTGTATTCAAAAAATCTCCATGGATGATCAAAAAAAGAATAGAAGAGGAAAAGCAAGACACTAAGTTCCTGCAAAACACAGAATGGACAAGTCTAGGAGACATTGCTCATAGTCTTGCTGAGGAAAGGAAAAGACAGTATCCTGCTTTTACAAGAAGAAAGGCCAGGGTGATAGAAGAAATGAGATTAGTTGTTCGTGCTCAGCCTTGCTTTTTCCAGGTCAGTTATCTATCTCGATATAATTGCTTTCTGGAAGTGGGCCAACTGACTACTTTAGAGTAATGAAGTAAAAGGAAGAGTACCAGATTGCTTGTCTTACTATTCAACATCTGTAAACAACTTAGTGGTCTGCTGACAAAGCACTAGGCAAGTAAACGGCAAGAAACAAGTGAAAATGCAAGTGACAGTCATGTGAAGACAGCCCTGCATCTCCAACGTTAGCTTTTAATATATTCCGTAACATATTCGATGACATAATTTTAATCAGATGCTTTTGTGTAAGCATCTACACCTGAATGCATACTTGCACTCAATACAAATACTGACTGCTACTCGACTGATCCTCTTCATTGGGAAGAATCTTGGGAAGATTCCTACATCAACGCAGTGAGGTAAGAGAATTTCATGCTACAAAAAATCTCTTCCTTGGAAAACAAAATTCAGAGTAAGAGCTTTTACAATAAGGTGGAACCTGCAGACAGCAGATTGAACAAGGTTTTCAAATGTCATTAATGGAATTTACTTCATTTAAGAAAATGCTGGATTCTTCCTGCTACACTAACTTCTTTTGGAGTAATCAAGAAAATGCTCTCTTTATACAGTCCAGGGCAGATGAGGTGAACAGACAGCTTTCTTTTCTATTAGTATAACAACAGTAGAAGAGTATGTACAAAGACCCAGCTCTTCTAATAACACTGGGACACAGGAAATGCCAATATAAGGTAACCAGGCCATGCTTGTAAAAACCTCTGTCACATGTCACGTTATTTTCCCCATGATCTCATTATTCTGAGCAAGAATGGAAGGCACAGATGTTGCTTTCATTCCATTTCTCTTTCTTCTTTGGAGCTCTGATTGTACTCTTTGCACTTAAACCTTGAGAAAACTAGCGGAAGACATGCACAGCATGTACATGTTCCCTGTGCAAAGTTGTTTCAAAGAGAGCTAAACAACATCCTGCATGCTTTTCAAAAGAATGCAGAGAAGAAAACAGGTTCTCCATAAATTAATTTTATCTTCAAAGCTGTGGTTCTTTCATGGCTTTGGGAACAGCTAAGAGAATTTGGAAAAAGGGGATGAAAAGAACAGCAAAGAGGAGGCATGGAGGAGCTTCCTTTTCCAGCTCTCAATGTTGTAAAGAGGGTATCTCGCTTTCACCCTTCGTCACTTACCAGATACCTACAAGAAGCTGGAGATTTGCCTACTGGGTTTTACAAATGCAGACAGAAATCAAAATGCTATATACATGTACATGAAATAGGGTTATAGCATATACATGCCCTTATCCTCTGTCTCTATAACCTTCCTCGTCCTTCTTCTGTAGGGATTCAAATGTCTTCACTCCAAGGATCCAAGGCCAAATTATTACATGGAAAAACTCCCAGAGCTTTGTTCAGACATCTAAGGAAACTAGTAAGCTGTGAGAAAGACCTGAGAATATCTGAAAAGTTGAGACATGCAAGATAATAAAGGGAAAATAAGAGACAGTGGCAGAATCACTAAGGTTGGAAAGGGCCTTCAAGATCATCAAGTCCAACTGTTAATCCAACACCACCATGCCCACTAAACAATGTCCCAAAGCGCCACATCCACATGTTTTTTGAACACTTCCAGTGACGGTGACTCCACCACCTCCCTGGGCAGCCTCCTCCAATGCTTAACCACCCTCTCGGTGAAGAAATTTTTCCTAATATCCAATCTAAACCTCCCCTGGCACAACTTGAGGCCATTTCCTCTTTTCCTATTGCTAGTTAGTTGGGAGAAGAGACCAACACCCTCATCGCCACAACCCCCCTTCAGGTAGCTGTAGAGAGCGATAAGGTCTCCTCTCAGCCTCCTCTTCTCCAGACTAAACAACCACAGTTCCCTCAGCCGCTCCCCATAAGACTTGTGCTCCAGCCCCCTCACCAGCTTCATTGCCCTTCTCTGGACACGCTCCAGCACCTCAGCATCCTTCTTGTAGTGAGGGGCCCAAAACTGAACACAGTATTTGAGGCGTGGCCTCACCAGTGCCGAGTACAGGGGCACAATCACTTCCCTACTCCTGCTGGCCACACTATTCCTGATACAGGCCAGGACACTGTTGGCCGCCTTCGCCACCTGGGCACACTGCTGGCTCATTTTCAGCTGGCTGTCAACCAGCACCCCCAGGTCCTTTTCTGCCAGGAAAGGTGATGGTGATTACTGGGAGCTCAAGGATTCAAGAGAAAACACACCAATGTGGAAATATATAAAAACTGACAAAGAAAAAAAAAAAATTCCAGTCAGTGGAGTACTGCAGTCAGTCTGTAACATCAAGAATCTGTTCCAACCTTTCCTCTGCTCACTGATGCCTACCTTCCCAGCAAAGACTGAGGTCTCTTACTGGGATGGTGAATATACTAATGCTTAACTAGGATTCAACAAGCTACCAGACTACCTTGCAACTGAGTTAGCCAGTAACAAATTGCTTTATACTTCTAAGTTGTGTATATCTTGCTTGCAGAATGTGAACAAAGTAACCCAAAAAGAAACAGTAATGCTTACAAAAATCTTTTAAAAGATTTCTTAAAAATCTTTGAAAAGTTCCTCCATTTACTCCTCTTTAACTTTCTGCTTGAGAGGCATTATTGCACAGAACACCAGTGTGGCTGAAGTAGTGTGTCTCTGCAAGGAGATGGCACAAGAAAAATACCAATGAAGAGATGTTCTCCTGATGAGTATATAGTGTGAGCATCCTAAATACACATTCAAAATAAACGCATTAAGCAGAGTTTTCAAGTTAAGGTGTTTCACCTCTTTTTAATTAGATGTGTAATCTTGCTAAGCTTTACTTAATAAAAATAGTATTGACATGGGAGGTTTTTCAAAGCTCAGCCTTTTGAAGCTCTATAATGCAGTTTCTCCCTCATTGTCCTTGATTTGTACAACAAATTCAAAAAGAGATATAAATATTTTATTAGTTAGTTTTTTTTCTTTAAACTGTTTGTATTTATTGAACCACTAGTACAACAGCATATCCCCTAGCAGAAAGGTAGTGTTTGCTATGCAAAACACACAGTCATGATTGGCATCTAAGACCAATTGATCTACCCATTACCACTACCTCCCTACCCCCACAAGCTTTACTACAAAGCTATTGATTTAAACACTGCCGATCGGTTTCCATTTTCAGATTTTGGGCAGGCCAATTAAGAAAGTGAGTAATTGTGATTACACTGCTTCAGGATCAATTACATTTGATGCAAGACAAAGTGCTCCTCTTAGAGCAACGTAAAGAAAATTATTATGATCAGGAACACTTTACAGCTGAACATGCTTCCAACAAAATGCAAAATAACTGACAATGTCTTTCATAAAGATATATCATCAGGAAATACAAGAATATTGACACCTTTGTATGCACAGTATTTCAACTATACTTTGACAAATGTCATTTTTCCTTTTGGATAAAGGTTTTTTAAGAACTATGACAAGTTAGAAAGGTTGCAGCTGAATTCTCTGAGACATCACACCCAAAACATAACACTGCACAATTTCTTCAATGATATTGAAGATCAGTAGGATTTTGAACACTACATGCTTTAACAGAAAATAGCAAATTTAATGCAGAGAACATTTTGCGTATTTTTATACTATTTTCTAAGAACTAGTGTCAAAGAGACAAGGCCTTATCAATTAGCAAAGGAACAAAGTAAGCAATTCCTATTCTTAATTTAATTTTAAACTTAGCTTGAGCTTTGTCATTGGACTCACATTGTCCAAATCATTAAAATGAATACACCGCTGAGGTCTGAGGCAAATCTATTTACAGTGATGTTACTCATAGTCTGGTCGGTGTTCAGGAATATTGATCTGTCTTGTTTGTCTAATAGGAAAATAATAAACAATTACTAGGCAATGTTGGAGAAAGTAATCAGTTTTTATATATCACTAATACAGCAGACCTCCCAAAACATAAAGGTGATGATCTGCATAAAATCAATGTGTTATGCTACATTGCTTATCCTCATCACTGCTAAGATTCTTAGCAATAAATGGTAGAAGTTTGGAATCAAATCATTAGTATACTGAAAATATGTACTTGAAAGAAAAATACCTGCTCTATTAAAAAAAAATGTTCCTGCTTGATAAACTGAGCATATTTTATTAAAAAAAAGTATATT